TCTCAGGGGATGCATGGGTTTAAACATAGATAGCATCAGTGTAGAGGCCAGTAACAGGCAATCGTGAGTGGTACGTGGGGGGATTTTTTCTGATTTCACTGGTTAAAAAATTGTACTTTCATAAACTGCTTGCTCCAAACATATAACTCTTCTCTGTATATCAAATTATTTGCTTTAATTTGTGTGAAAAAAATGATAATGAAACTGCTCAGGAGATTGAAATCCTCTCTGTCTCTCTCGATGCTGGGAAGCAGAATGCAAAGCTTCTGATTACGGTCTGACTCCCGTTTCAGAGCAGACCCATAGGTAAGATAGAGTCATTCTTCTCCTCTGCCATTGCAGAAATTTGGCTCCTCTGTTATAAATGCTAACAGATCATGTTGCTAGTTATGGTGTGTGTTCACATATGTTTTAGGAAATCCGTAGGAGGGAAGGGAGGCAGCTGTTTGATACCTCAGACCCTCTGATGCCAAAAACGAACTCTACTTCATATAGATCCCCGCTGGATGAGGCACATGGTTCAGATCGTATTAAATGAACATGTTCAAAGGCATCAGTACATGGCATTTGACCATCATTAGGAGATGGCCATTAATTGTGAGTAAAGGTGCAATAACAGTAACACCCAAGTCCTGATCTCACTGCGTGTCTAATAAGTGCAGTGAAGCTAGGTAAAAAGGACATAAGTAACTCATCGCACATTTTTGGCATGTTTTTGTAATAATACGTCTCTCAATGCCAACAAAGTGCTGAATAGCAACATGTAATGTTCTTACCCATACAGGGCCAAATTTTCATAATATCCAGCAACCTCAAACAGCGATGTGCCTGCTGCACTAACATTTAATATATGTTCAAATCATGGAATTGGGCAACCAAGTAGCTTCTTAGGCATCGCTAGCAATTTAGGCAGCCAATCATGGTATACGCATACACAGCTGTAGCTAATGCATACCACTCCAAGACTATGTACTGAAAATCTAATTCATATGGCTAGTTTTTTTAAAGGGATCTCCTTTTTCACCACCTAAAATTACCTTCCTTTCGATCTTTAATTCAGAGTAACAAAACATGGGCATTCAAATAGCCATTAGTGCAAGCAAGCCAGCAGAATGGTAGCTTGATTGCGTGTACAATTTTCTGTGGGATATCTCAAAGCAAGTTAGTAATTTGGCCCTTTAACATTTTCTCCCTCTATATATGCGTAGGTGGGTGCTTCTGTGCATGTGTATATGAGTTGCTATATCATATAATCACTTAATGCAATTAGAGTCAATTTAAGAAATACAGAAAATCCAAAAACTACACTCTTGTTTTTCTGACCATTTCCCCTTTTTAAAAAATAAATGACTCATCCCAGTTGCAAGAGCTAAGATATTCTTTACACTTGACGATTTAGCTACCTTATGTGTTTTTACTGGGGAAAAAAAAGCCCTCTATCATTTATCATGTCATCTTATCACAGTCTCTTTGTGAGACGCAAATAGCACACTAATGTTTTCTTTTGTTAGGGTGAGTTGGCAATCTCCTCAGAGATGGAGCAACTACAGACAGCTCTTTTTTTTGATAATCTTCCTGACACTTGGATGAGACTGGCTTATCCATCAACATACAGTTGCTCAGTGGTAAGTCGTATGCCAACAGTCAATCAGTATGGATGGCGCTTCTTGTCCATCATAAAAAATAGAATAGAAACTAAAGAATTTTTTTGGCAAATATCTTACCTTCTTATGTAACTCAGAATAGCTTTATATTATAAACTGATGTTACAAGTGTTATGAAAAGCAGAAATAACCTTGCATTTATCTTGCCAATTACTGCAGACTTTGAAAGATTTCTCTAAAATTTGCATTCCCACTTCTTGCTTGCTTGCTTGCTTTTTTCCTCAGCTGTGTGTGCTGATCAAATAGGTTTGGCGAGTGCTGTAGGACATAGTATCTCCTACTCAGAAGACTAGGCACTTTCTTATGTCTTTTGGGATCAGAATTTGTAACAATAGAAGAGTACTACTCTGAGCTCAAGGGTGAAATGGTCACCAGGAGCAGCAGCAGTTAACAAAGCAGCTTGCATCAAGAACTTAGAGAAAAGTTTCAGAGCAAGTAGTGGGGACATCATGTTTCTATTTATCTTAACTGAACTAATTTTAAGATGTGTCTATCTGCCTACTCTCCATAGCTGTCTTGTAATACCAAAAGTGAAACCAAGAGCAAAATGTGAAAAGCCATCCAATGCAGGCAAATTATTTATCTGCTGACATACTTTCAACTCTCCTTGGAAGCCTCCTGAGTAAGGCAGAGAGCCACTGACCGGTGGGGCTAACCAGGACTGGAGAGCTGACCAAAGGACAGGAAAGCTCTGCCTAACACAAAGACAGGTAGCACTAGAAGGCAAAACAAGCCCACACTTCTGAGATCAGCTCAGACTTCTGAGAGATCAAGAGAGGAAGAAGAAATCGCGTTCAGCAGAGGAGACATTGAGAGAAGCACCAGAGGTACATTGTGGTGAAGATCAATCAGAGCTTTAAGGAATTAAATGCTCTTTTAGCTTCCCCTGATGGAAAACTAAAGCACCATAGAGATACTGTGATGTCTGTGATAAATATACGTCCTGAAGACAGAAAGCGTTGCCTAGGGGATATAATGCAGTAATGCGAAATTACAAGCTGTTTTCCTGAAGGACAACACAGCTGCTTTCTTTAAAAAAATGTATGGGGGAGTCAAGCTGGACCTTACATTCATGTTTGGAGAAAAGAGGGTAAAAGTACCCACTGATTATATAAAAACTGTCTTGCAGAACTAGTAGGATTTGAGGTGACAGATTATCTTTTGCCATCAGGTGCAAAATGCAGTGAGTCACTAGGGAGCAAAAACATTTCCAGGAAATGCTGCGTTACGCAGCTGGGCTCCAAGAGAGGCTAGAACAGAGCATGTATGGGAAGGGACTGGGGAGCAGGTGAAAGGGAGATCTGTCATGAGCACCCAAGAGGTTATGCATGGATGGGACCAGTGGATTGGTCAATTCTGCTTGGCCATCAGTCTCTTGGGTCTGGGGACATCAAAAAAAAACAACAGAGGCTGAAAACAAAACTTGAATCAATGTCACATCTAAAAAGCCCGTAGTAATTGGTGTCAGTAGCAGGAGACGTGAGCTTCCTGTAGGAAAGGACATCCTCTCTCTACCACCCTGTTATGCCCACTGCAAAGCACAAGGCCTCAGTCATCCTGATAGTTTTATCCTCCCTGTTTTTTAAATCCCTCTGTGTCGTATATACCTACCTGACATGACACTGTCTGAGACATCAGATAAAACCCTTTGATTTCTAAGCAGATGCCATTTCAAAGTAAGATGAGATGGGGTGAGGAGGTGAAGGGAAAAAATCTGAATACACACACAATTTAAGCATCTTGGGCTCAGCAAATGTGTCAGAAACAGCAAACATGAGGGATCATATGAAGGAGATGATGTCAGATCACCTAATAATCTCAGATCTTCAGTCTGTCTTCAGGATCCTTTTCTACGTCTCTGAAATGAACATGAATTCTGTAAATGCTTCCCTTTATAAACTAGCCCTATATGTCACCTAGTGTTTCACATTTCTGTGTAGGAGTTGCCTCTTGCCCTCGAGCCAGCAGTCTCCTGTCTCTGGGTTAGAGACAGTCAACTATCCCCGGGGCAGAAGATGTGTCTAGCATTTCTTAATAGCAGCTTGTTAGGAAGCAAGAAGCAACACTGAATAGCGCCAAAAAAAGACGACCTCAGCTAGAAAGGTGGGGACGTGATGCCAGTGATGTTAAATGGGGTAAGAGAAAAAAAAACCAAGCTGATGCTTTCTTTTTCAGGCCACAAAAATTCAGAGAAAAATCCAACAGATAGGGAAAAAGAGTGTGGCTGGAAGAGACAGACTGGAAGCTTGTGTCACAGGTCATCCAGCTTTCTGGAAATCTGCAAAAGACCAACAGTGGGATGTCTTAACAGAGCTAAATATGTTTGGGTTCTGGGCTGTGACTGCACTGGCAGGCAATGGCTGGAGCAGGCTGAGGTGACAGCAGCGGTGCTGGAGGATTCGGAAGGAGACATTCAGAGGGGATGAAGTGCAGGGGCTTGTAAGGGGCGGAGGGTAGCAGGGGGGCAGGAAGCCACAAAACGTGGGAGCTGCCAGAAGAGGGGATGTTCGTTCCCCCTTTGGAAGATATTCATAATACACAGATACAGGCTTAGAAACTGTTCCACAAAAGCTCAGGGTTATGGCACTGACTCCCTTGCAGGCTAGAAAAATACCTGCCTGAAAGGAAAAGGCCTTCAGGGTAGGAGGGTTTGTTATTTGGGGTTTTTAACTGACAGGATCTGCTGCTGACTTGTAAGGTGGGGAGGTATTAACTCCTGAGAAGGAGGAACAAAAGGCAGGGATTGCAATCCTGCAAGAAAAAGCAAGGAGCATTGCAAGTAGAGGTGGGCTGGTCCGGGGGGGGGTAAGGATATTCATCGAGTGCTCTGAGATGAAACATGCTGTGTGTTCGCAAAGGTGCCTGTCAGTCAAGCGGGGGAGCAACATTATGACAACCTCTCTTCCAGAAGCAGCAAAGACCAAGATTTTTTTCCCTGCAAAGCCAGCCAAGAAATTACGGAAATGGTTGTTTTAACAATCAAAGCTAACTGGGAGAGAACAAAAGAACTCCAGATGCACGTATGTACACATCCATCCATTTGTCCATGGCCTCCTATGGCCTCCGATGAGCCAACTTCCACTTAAAGAAAGCCTCTTACATTGGTGAGAAAACAAGCAGCAAATTATTTTGCTGCTGTAAAACTTAAAATTATGTAAGTTTCAGGTAGGAATGTGAAATGGATGTAACTTGCATGAAAATTTCTGAGAGTACCATTAAGTCTAACGCACATGGAATAGCAGAAAAGAGGTTAGAGTTCTTTTGAAGGAGCCACTCACTTTTCCTGAATACCGACTTGCTGAATACCAGCTTACCAGTTACCTCTCAAAGCGCGGCTGCTGCTGTGGCTCCTTGAGACAGACAGGCTCAGGTTCCAGGGGGGCTGTTCTGAAAGCCCACAAGCACACAATATTGCTGCACTTGCTGCTTCTCGCTTGTCGGTACTTAATTAGCAAATACAAGTGCAGAGCTGTGCTGAAATCAGAAAAGATACTTTGGTATGGAAAAACTTAATGTGAGGAAGTTGCTTGTTAAACAGAGAGGAATTTGTTGTTCAGCTGCACTCAAAACACAAGAAAAGGGGAAAAAAAAAAACTTTAATGTGTGCCAGGGCAAAAGGACCACTCTCTTGGCAAGAAAAAGAAACATTTGCAAGCTTCTGAGTTGGTATTCGAACAATGGGGAAGAAAATGAAGTAGAAAAACTGCTTGATGGGCTGCTGAGAAGAATCCTCCTCCCTCCCCTACACACACTGATTTTTATGTTTTCTTCTACCATCTAGATAAGATGGACTGATGGTACAACAAATAATATCTGACATACAAGTTATACAAAAAACATGGTATCAAGAACATAATTCAAAATGGGCTGAACTCCTTGAATTCAAAGGCAATCAGATAAGTGGCAAAAAATATAATCAACTACCACCATTATTTTCTACCAGAAGATGTTAGATATTGAAAATTCTATCAGCTTTTTCACACAGTTGCTATCCCAGTATAGTCTGATACAAAGTAAAAAAACAAAACACCAAATCAAAAACCAAACCAAGCCCTGAATTCCAGTTTGAAGATCAAGGTGAGAAGAAACCTTAAGTCTGGCTGTCACACAACTGAAGTAATAGGTTTTCCAGTGTTTGCTTTCATCATGTTTCCTGTGGCTGTGATCTTTAGTGAATTACCCCTAATCCTTCATCAGAAGTCTGCCCTTCTTCAGTTTTATCCCAAGTTCCTAAGTTCCTAGTCGGCAACTTCTCAAATTGCCATTAACATTTTGGAACTTTCTTCACATATTGCACATGAGGGTCAGAATTCCCCATTGCTAAGCTATTCATTTGTATTTCCTTTTAATCCTTCTCCTACACAAAACAAATATCTAAATATTGCCTGTGTCAAAGTAAATATTTTAAAATGTATATGCTTAACTTGGGGCTGTTGGGAGGGGTAGGCTGCAATTGTTTGCAGTCCAGGAGCTTCACATTACTGGGTCCTTCCTAGCGTGGCAGGTGCCAGGTCGGGGGGTGTGCGCCCACACGCAGCATCCCACAGACCTCACGCATCCGCGTCCTTCCCAGCGCCCATGCTTCCTGACCTTCGACTCACGGTTTGCTTCTGAACACTTTTAAAGCAAGAGCACCCTGTTCAAATCCTCAGTGTTTCAGCGTTTGCTAAGTAGTACATTCTATTAGCAAATGCTTTCACTGCAGGTTAAAATTCTCAAACGCAGATCATACAATGCGCTGAGAAGTATTGGCTGGCAAAAAAAAAAAAAGCCTGTCATACATAGCAGGACTACCAATAATGCGCAATATATTACACTCCAGCAAAAATTACTGATATCAAAGCTAAACAGGAATGATTTGTATGGTTGAGACAAGTAGAATAAAATATGTATTTTAACTAAATCAGTTTTTAGGAATACCAGGCACAGGTTAATCCTTTATAAATATGTTCACAGAGTACATTAGACACCAGCCCGCCTACGCAAAATGAATGCAGCACACACTCTGATGTATCACAGAGGCAGGATAAATGAGGGAACTCTTCTGTGTTTGATCTGGTTCTGCTCTGTAATTCAGAGATACTGGAGATGGGTGGTGAGTTTCCCATTGATCCCAAAAGAACCAATACTGTTGAATCCTGTGAAATGTAAGCTTTGTAGAGGATTGGAGGCTATGCACGAAGGACATTGTAGCTTTAGGGGCATATTCTCTTCTTGGGAATGTGTGTAACTGGCATTCACAAGAGTCATACACATCCTAGGGAAACTATATCCTGTAGCTTAACAATGGTGAAAATGCATACCTAGCTCCACAGGCAATTATATCACTCTCATTGCTACATCTGCATCCAGTTAACAAAGGACAGATTTCCAGCAGATAATAAATGAACCTGGAAATGAATGTCCTGAGAATTTTGAAACAATGCTAAATTTGACACACATCACCATTTAAAAATGCAGCAAAGTGCAGTCAGAGCATCAATCCAAGTCTAAGATATTTTAGATAGAAAACACAGGGCTAGCACATAGATGTGGGAATAATCAATTCCAGGGGGTTTTCCCCCCCATTTTTTCCAGCTTTTTAAACCACTTACACCAGTTCTTGCTTCTCTGAACTGTATTTTGCATATGGTAGAGGTGTTAATGCACAGTTACTGCACAACAGGGTTGTGAATTTTAGTTAATGAAAGCTTTTAAGGGCACAATGAAATCCTCGGATGAAAGGCAACAAAGAAGTGCGAAGTATTATTATAGCCTCGCCTAAGTTTTACTGAGAGCATTCTTGTACACGATGGACACAGCATAAATATGTGTTATGGGTGATAACCTCCCTCTAAAGGCTAATTCCCACTCCTGAGGCTGCCAGAGGCAAGGGGTGGCAGTCTTATAAGACTTAAAGTCTCATAATATTTTCATCCTATTCCTAACCCAGGAGCTAGAAGAGGACCGTGTATACATTCTGAATCCTTAATGAATAGCATGCCCGTCCCAGCATATTGTGTGCACGAATAGATCGCAAGGACTGCAGACCAAGATGGTTCAGTGAACACTTAAAGGCAGAGGCAGCTATAGGAAGTACAGCAAATACTTCCAGTCACAGCAGTGTGGCATACAGTAAGTTTACAATGTGTGTTTGTATGCTATCTATGGAAGAGATAAGCAAAGGGACAGAAATCTGCTTGTCATTTTCCCTGATAATTTTTGCTAAAATCCAAGCAATTGTTTGTGCATAATAACAAAAAGAAACGATTAACACAGTCTGTATTTTGCAAAGGTGAGAAAGGGATAGCTGTCAACAGGATGTGGATGAAAGCTCCGGTAACCCATTTGGAAAAAATCTAGCACCAGAAGAAACGTACAACAGCTTACCAGGCTGAGAGAGGACAGGATCTGCTGGTCTGAATGATGGTTTGATCTGTTACGATGGGAGTGAAGTCTTCAGTTTGAAAAATACTGTTCTGCTTCCTGGGTCTGCAAGAACTAACGTTGTTCTAACAGCTGCATCCTTCTGATCAGCTGCCCTGTTTCACTGATCATGGTCTAAGTGATCTGTAGCCTCCTTCTTTTTCTGCCTCTGTTCAGAGAAAAGATTGCAGCTTCATTTTGGTTATTATTTGCATATTTTCCTTAACAGTTTACTCTCAGCAGCTTCTGATTTAACCTTACATGTTCTGCAGTTCAGGAAAATACTACGAAGAGAATTTTTAGATTAGTACCTAATATTTTCAAAGTAATAGCAGGCATCTCACTCATACATCTCATGTTCCACCCTTTTGGTAAATGTATTCTAACACTCTTAACTTACCTGCTTTAAAAGGACTGGCATGTTGAACCAGCTGGCCTTTTTCCACTGCTATAGCTTTTCATGTCATAGTCTGCTGCTCCAATTTCTGTATTTTCCTTGCATTTTGCAAGACAAAATGCAGAAGTTTAAAGGTTCATAATGTTTATGTGACAAAAATCTTACTGCTAAGTACAGTATTACTGATGGATTATTTTAATGCAATAGCATAATGTAATTTAATTATAGTAATAGTGCACAGCAACAATCTTACTACTTATGTCAGATTGTGAGACATTCTCTCTTAAAAGCTTCATCATTATTATTTAGTTTTTATGTTTAGTTCCACAGTATCCCCCCCCCCTCCACACACATTAAATTAATTTCAAAGGTGTAGAAGAAGAAACATTAGGTAAATTGCTCCCATTTTGCCACTGTAAAATTCCATAAGAATTCACAATGGTAACTGAAAATCTATTTTGCATCATGAGGCAATAGTCAGCCATCCTGTGGTGAAAACTTGTAGCCTTCTGATCATAAGTCCTCAGACCTGTAAGCTCTAGTTTAAAAAAAAAAAAAAAAGCCCAAGCAAAAAAAAAAAAAAAAAAGAAAGGATCGTTCCACCAAGTCCAACTTTTATATTTACCTGAGAGCTTTTAATGTAGATTGATCTGAATTCCTGTGCCAGCCACGAACTACTTCGACATTCATGTAAACTATTGTAGTTCAGGGCTCCAGCTTTCTCAACCCACAGCTTCCATTGATTTCAGCTGTGGCTGACAGCAGTTCTGAAGATCCAACCCACAAAAACTCCTATTTCTAAAGTGTTTTCTATCTGAAGACCACAGAATTTTCTATCAGTGTTAATTTAGCTTCACAACAGCTCCAGAAAGACAGAAAAATGCATCTTCAGCCAGCACAGCTGTATGCAAAGTGAACATCTGTCCATTGCCAAATTCAGTTTAGCTAATAATAAAAAAAAAAACACACTTTATTTTCTCTTCCAGACAGGACCAGACTGCAAGGGAAAGCCTGGAGAGGATTTCCATGCTTTAAAAAGGGAAACAGGGAGAGACTGAATTTCATAAGGTCCCTGAGGAAATGTGTGGCAGCACTAGGAAAAGAACTCAGCACTTGAGCAGCCGAGATACCATCTTCACAGCCAAAAATGGATGTTTTTTTTCTCTGCAGCGTGACTGCATTAGCAGTGTTGCGGTGACATAACAGCACAGACATAGCAGGCTCTGTGGATTTTGTGGCAATGAAGTTAGGTAAGGTTAATTTCTGATTGGCAGAAGTTGTCTTTCTGCAATTGCATCACGGCAAAAGCTTTTCCTGCCTTAATTCAATAACAAGAATCTTGGTAATGTGAATTAGCGAAATCACTGCAAACCACTGCTTTTTAGAGGGGGTAATCAAGGTGTACCCTGTATCTTAAAACTATGGAAACTGTAAGAGTCCTGCTGTACGCTGATCTGTTGCTGTTCATTTACTAGCTTGCCCAAGGTTTTGTAAGACCCAACTGTATATATTTTTCAGTGTATACATTTATTTAGGTGCAAGGCTAAAGCCACAAAGGGTCTTGGGCTCAGTACTGCAATACTTGACTCTTAGGGGGTCTTTCAGCTTAAGAAACCCACAGCTCCACAAAAGCCAGCCTCTTTGCACAGTATCTCTGCATAGAAGTAGGTTGTGTGCAAGGGACCTACATTTCTGCTTCTTTCAAGGGATTAGGAAGATGGCTCAGGGGTGGATGGACACTTTTCTCTCCCCTTTGACTTCTCAGTGTGTACGAGTGTGTGGAACTATCCATGCCTGGTGATCCCTTTTAGTGCAACATACTAGCATAAGGAGGAGAAAAATTGTACTAGACTTCCCTACTCCTTTTCAAGCCTCAACAGTATATTTAAGAGCAGTTCTACGCAGCGAGAGATTAAAATACACAGCCTTTTTCTGTTTGATTTTGGGTAGATGTTTGAACCCAGAATCAATCTTCCGCAGCAAATATTTGCTAAAAGCTAGCCTATTCACTCTTTTACAATACCATGGGCCACCTGTCAAATCTATGGCACCTTTGTAAGCTACAGAAGGGAACATAATTATATGCCAATTCACTTGTGCATTGATTTTAGCATGCAGCAGAACCCATTTCTCTAGCCAGCCTCTGCTTCTGCAGCAACGCCCTGTACTCAGCAGAAACCTGGACTTTTGATAGAAGTGGCACCATTTTTACACCTTTATGCCTTGGTGTTATTCATACTGTATACCATTTGCTACCAAAAAGCCTCTGCATTCCTTAAAGCTTTGTCTTAGAAGAAGAAAGAATTCCGGGTCAAACTGCCTGCATCAAAGCAAGCTGGTGGGGGATTTCAACCTTTGTCTTAGCTCCACATCTTAGGTGACTGTTCTGAAGATTTAAGGGCACTAAGAAAACATTATCCTCTTTGCTGTGTTTTGCATGAAACTTTATAACAACTAGAAAGTAAAAGTTGTTCCTAGCCTAAGATCTATTACAGTAAATTAGGTCACCTCAGCTGCCTTTGTAGACAAGATGATGTACGTACGGCAAAGAAGTCTCTTCCTCCCATTGATAACATTGTTCCCTTGCCTTTATGTGTTGGATTGGAAATGAATCTATAGTTACTGTCTATTTAAAGTGAAACTCCTGATTATGAGTCTTTTTTTTTTTTTTTTTTTTACCATTCAGGTGCAGTGAATAACTTCCGCGCTGCTGTGAGCTTGACTCCTAGCCTCTAGATCTCACCCTCCCTAGTGTTGTCTGGATATCAGGTTTTTCAACCCCCAGTCCTTCCTCACAGGTAGGAAGCACATCACAACTCATTAGTAATTTACTGCTACAGTAATTTTTATAATTACTGCCAGGAGGCCTCATTAAATTTGATCTAATGAATAAATATTGTATTTTTCAACGTGATTACCAGAACAGCTTAAGCTGAGTGCCATAAACAATTATTTTCTTCAATACGCAGTATGTCAGTGAGTATTGATTTTTATTTTGTAAAGAATTTACTGTATTCCTATCTATGGCTAGTAAGTAATAAATAGCCAGCCCTCTGAAGTGTCAATTGCCACAGAGCAGATGGCAAAACAGAAACTGGGATATCTCTTGCAAAAAGTAAAATAATGCACATTAGTGAAGATAAAGGTTTGTCTGGAGGTCGAGGAGTGCTCCAATGTGAGTCTCTCTCCTATCCCTCAAGAAAGCAGCCTGCTTTAGTGTGCTGTCTCTGATTTGTAAGTCAGTGACACCAAAAAATTTAGAGTGTATTAGTAGGATACAACAAAGCATTTTATCTCAAAGAACTAACACATGAACAAATAATGATGCCTTATGTTTCATTTGCTTTTAGAGCAATTGATCAGATGAAATATTATTCTAACGGTTTAAGAAAAATACAGAAATATATAATATGCTGAACACGAACTTATAGTTCAAACCAATGCTGCAAACTATTTACTTTCCAGCATCATTTACACCTTTTTCAGCAATTGCAGACGCTAGCATAGAAACCTCTTTGAACTGTATAACAAAAGGCATGCATTGGCAATGTCTTAGGATATACATAGAGGAGCACAGCATTGGGAGAAAACCCTCGAAATTTCTGTCATCTAAGAACGTTTTCTGCACTTCCAGCTATCTGGTACCACATTAGTTAGATCCAAATCCATAGCTCGAGCACTGCTTAAATAATTAAGTAAATTTATCTACATCAACAAATAGCACTACTGGCCTGTGCCATCAGTTTTTTTGTTTAAGCAAATCTTTCTTTTAGGGCAAGAAAAAAAAGTGTGGGTAAACCCAGGGTCACTGAGGGCAATTCATATACCTAAAAGGATTTTTTCCTATTTAATGGGCATTTTTGCATGAGCTGCATTTTCTCCCTTGGTTGTTTAGTTTAAGGAAACCTGGGGAGTCTTGAGGTTGTTAGCTCAGTACCTCCCATTCAGTCTCCTTGCTGTAGCCAAACTGTGATCTGGCCTCCACCAGATTTTACTGGAATGAGTACAGTGCAGTTACTGATTTATAACTGTATGTCATCAGAACAGCCTCTGACTTTCACCAACATGCAACTTTTCCCCCTATACACAAGTAAACTATAGGCAGCTAACTCTACACAGGACCTTAGAACTAGATCCACCTTAGTTGCTGCTTCACTCCCTAGCGCCTGTATTTTGTGACACTAAACATTCCCTCTCATAAAGTCCCTTCAATATCTGGGTTTCTGTTGTGACAGATGTGAAGGAACCTCAGTCTCACCAACACCGGCTGGCAAATATCTGTGCTTCCAGACAGGCTGTCGAAAACTCCCCTCATCTCACTAGTGGTGGGATTTGGTGGCGCTTGCTGAATGATCCTTGCACAAAGAAAAACTACAAGACAGCTTCTCTTCCTCCTTTGTATTTTTGGTGCTCCATGTCCTACAAACACATTAGCCATAGCACTGCAGAGCTCAGTACAACTGTAGGTAACAGTGCCCTACGCTCCTGTACCACTTCTACTCCAATGACTTTATTTTCTGAGGGATAAGGTCAACGTGGTTTAGGTGCCAGGCGAACACCAAGAGAACGTTGCTCAGAAACTAAAGCAGAAGGAGTTTTTAACTGTAGGGAAGAGTTGAGTGCTTTGTACAAACTAAGCCATTGATCATAGGGACTTCTGAGCATCCCTTTTACAAAATCCACGTCTTCTTGCACATTGTACAGCAAGCCATGGCATACCAGGAGGAGCTCCAGTGAGGGTGGCTGTTTCACAAGATAGCAGGGAACCCTAAGATCTGGCAGGAATCACATCCCTCTGTGGGTCCAAACATGTTAAAAGTGTAAAGCGATATCTATACAGGGAAAAACAGATGCTGGATTTCATCACTCAAGATTAATTAGCAAGTTAGCTAAGCCTGATATCAGCCAAACTGTTCATCTCATCCATAGCTTTTTCTTAGAACAGAAAAAAAAAAATCAGATGCTAGACGTGAGCTTTTAGAAACTGGAAAAACAGGTAGAAAGAAAGAAAATGGTACCTAATAGATTGCAATACTCTCAACTCCTTGTTTCAGCTATAAGGCACAATATACTTAATAGCAAATATGTCTAAGAAATAGACTGACTCTGCTTGCAAGAAGAGAGGGTGTTTATCTTCAGGCTGTGCTTAGAAGGTACACAGAAAAAAACCAAAACCCATTATTCCTTGCTGTAGGTAAGTCTGCAAATCTTGATGAAAATTAATTGTAATCATGTTAAGAACATTCAATTGTTAATTTTTTTTCTAAAGCAGGCTTTAGCTATGTGCGTAAATGGGGTTTTGGTCTTACAGCTGCAAAAAAAAAAAAAAAAAAAAAAATCTTGTTCAAGACCATGGCAGAAGGCTTTGACATGGATACCATATACACTAGTATATTTTTATTTACTGAAGGTACTCTTCAGAGGTTTATAGAGCAGATGCTGTTTTCTAGCCACAGCAACTATTTAAAAACTAGAAGTTACTTCTCCCAGAGAAAACTGGGATTATATCAAAGCAGTTCAGTTCCTCACAACAAAACTCTGTGCTTGATTTCCAATACCAAAATTGTAACATCGCAACTTTTTCATAAGAATTAAATGGAAACAGAAATAAAGGGGGAAGAAAAAGCTTTTAGAGTGTTAACTCTCCACGGCAGGAGGAAGCCAGCATGGGCATTGAGCTCGGCACACTCATCCCCTTCTCCCTGCTGAAAGGGACACAAAAAGAACTCTGGCTAAGCATTTATTTTTCTGCTAATGTGAAAGTTTTCTTTTAAAGAGGAAGCAGATTGAACAGAGCACGAGAAAAGAATTTGACTCTGGCTTATTTCCAAAGGTTTTTTTCCTGATGATTCACTGTTATCACTTGTATTCACATTACAACCAGCCTCAAAAAGAAATACCCAAAACCGAAACCAACTCCCCCCTACACCCAACAACAAAAAACCCATAGCACAAAAGCACTAAGAAATAGGATCTTTCCTACTGCTAAATTCTGCTAATAAGCTATACAAGAAGAGAATCACGTAAGATAAGAGTGCCTATGTTCATTCACATTTGAGTAGTAACATAGCTGAGCCTCTAAATCTGGAACTTTAGAGCACATCTAAAGATGGTGAATCACCAAGGTATTAAACAAAATGGTTGACACTGATTGAATTTCTTGTTTTACTTCAGCTATATAATAAAATAGAAAACATCTAAATATCTCTGAAGTCTAAAATATTTAAATTTTCAGTATAGTCTTTCCAGTTGTTTTATTTTCAAACAGGAATTTGCTTGCATATTCAGGGAGGAGACATAACTGCTAATTCTCTGAAAACGTGAACAATACAAATTTTTATATTTGTGAGAGCCCTCTCGCCCTCAGTCCTGTTGTAAATGCCCAGTTTATGTAACAACTCACAAACATACCACTTAAACAGGCATTCAAACTAAAAGCAGGTAAAGTAAGGCCAAAAGGAGTGCTGATAGGATTGCTTTGTTACTGTGTACGTGATTAAAAGAAAATGAGGATGCTTGCTGTAGGCTTCTGTTACTTATATCTCTTGACACAACCTAGCACACAATTTCATTCTCCCTACCTGCAATAGATAGGTAAGGATGTAAAGCTAACTTGAGCCCAAATACAAATCCGTAATTTTAGTAATGTTTTGTTTTCATTTTCAGGAGCAGATGTGTGTTTTACCTGCAGGCATATTCAAGGGGAAAGATTGTATGAATAGGGCTCAACGCAGCAGGATCTACAGTTCAACTGATTTTTTTTTTTTTTTTCTAGTTCAAGTGATCAGCACGAATACTACTAAACGACTACTGCTAAGAGAGACAGATGCAATGCCTTTTTAGCCCATCCTGACCATACCATCACTTCTGGTTTATTTTTTTCACATAACGGAACTGTCTGCCATCCTTGTACCAGAGCTCTATCAATTCTGGCTCATAGGAAGCTTGTACCAAACATAAGCAAGTAGATCTTGTTTAGTATGATTGTAGCTCTATGCTCTAGACATACTTTCATACAAATTCAATATCCACAACTTCTTATTTATAAGAAGTCACAGTAGGATTCCCAATTCTCCCCTCACCTGCCAGTTTCAGGACTCCTACCACTAGCACTAATCATTACATTTTTGAGTTCAAACATACAAATCCCCTCCCATTTGCTGCTCTCATCCCAAAAGGTTTGTGGGTTTTTTGACAGCCATCTAGGAACCCCAGGCTTATTATTTGGAAGGGTGAAACCCAAGCATGAAGCTATGATTCCGTCCTCTTAGTGTTTGGAGCCCATATACTCATGTATGTCTATGATACAGCCCAGCATTATCTGCACGCTGGTGTTTAGGACCCTAGAACATGGCCAGCCTATACATGACAGAGAAAGCCGTATCTTTTTACTCACTTTGTTTTAGATGCAAGGCCAAGAACATGAAAGAACAGCAGGCAGTGTTTCCAAACTCTCCACACCAGCTTATGCCATTAGCCATGCAAGAGCTGCACTAGCAGAAAGCCGTAAGAGAACAAACTGGTTTATGCCAGCAGAGGTCAGTGGGTGACTCTCTTGCCAAATGTTTCAGGTGCACATTGTGTATTACAGATACGGTTTCAAAGTCAGCTATGTTCCCTCACCCTGGAACACTGAAAGCCATATGGGATAAAAAAGGGCAACCATTTTGCCCGTTTTTATCCCATATGTCTACCTGAGCAACACTTCAATGCTATTTTTGTAACTTACATATAATGAAAAAAAAAAGTTTGCTTAATAGGTAAGGAAGACAAAAATCCTTATCTCAAGATTTGAAGAAATACCAAATGTTGAATCATTAGATAATTAAAAAGCAAGTGAGACAGGGAAGCAAATAACATATATATTAATACATACCAGTCTAAGAGAATCTTCTGATAGTAAGGTTTTGGCCAATTCCATCAGTAGATACTATAATCACTGTAATGAAAACTTTACTCATAAGCAAGCTTGGGGTGTTTATTTACATATTTAACTTAAAAAAAGAAAAGCTATCACACACCCTTCCAGCAGTCACTACTCTCAGTCTATTACATAGCCACAGATGCCCTTCCCACCCACCTCCCATCACAGGGAACAAAGGTCCAAGGAATTTAAGAGTGTAATTTGCCAATTAGCCTTGTCAGTATTCTATTTCTAGCAGTTATAAATGATTATACCATTAAAAAAAAAAAGTGGAAATTATATCAGACATAGGCAGGAGATCATCTGGCCCTAAAGCTAAGTGTAGTGAGGGAATATCAACACACACAGACTTTTTCAGTAATAAATTAATATTCTACCTCTCACACAAGCTTTGTTTTTCTGTTCTTCCTTTAACAGTGATGCTCTATTTCCATACATCTGTGTTTTTTAAAGCTGACAAAGCTCAGATCTTTTCCTTATGAAGTTTCTTAAATTGCTGCCCGTTTGCTGGAGATATAAACCATGAGTTCTTTAACCATGTGTCAAGTTAACATCAACAGTACTTAAGTAGCTGTGGTACAGAGGCTTAGGGAAAAAGGTGTGTTGAGACACCTCAAAAATCAGCATGCAAACCATAAACTAACATATTACACAATTACATACAAATTTATTCTCACATCACCAACAGCATGACAAAAGGTAACACATCTAAACAATGCTTTTAGTTGAGAGTAATGACATGAGGACTTTGCCAGTAGAGGACCTGGGGACAGCTCACTCTGCTCGATCAGTTCTTTCCCATTTCCTCTCACTACAGGTCAGCTTCACATAATCTGCCACAGTCTCATCTAACTAATCTCTCTAGACCCAGCTACACTGATGCAAAAGCAAGCAGCACAAGTATGAAAGTCTTCAGCACTGCCAGCCTGCAATCAAGGCTCCCCAGGTATTTCTCTGCTCCAGCAGAGCCCTCAAGAGAAGTTAATTGTTTGTTTGGGGGGGGGGGGGGGGGGGGGGGAGCGTGGGGAGGGAAATGAGATATATATATATATATACATATATAAAAAAAAAAAAAATAATGGCAGGCACCTGACTTTGACTTGTGTCCAAATCCTCCTCACCCTTCTCAGCTCAGGACATAGGCATCCAGTGTAAAAAAAAAAGTAGGAAAAAAAGCAGAAGGGTAAGCACATGGCACATGTGCTTAAAGTCTGTTATCTGGCCTGAAGTCAGCACCTATGTATTTCTACCATCAAAAGTTAGTCATCAGGTACCAAACAATGCAATCCAAACAGCATGAATATCAGAGTAAGCCTGGTTCACAGACACAGGGCTGGGGAAAGAAAGGTGTCCTAATCCCACTACTCCCCCACATATGATGGGAGCAACTCCTTTACTGCACAACAGAAGTTTACCTGAAAGGTGGTAAAATCTAACTACAGATCTAATGGGGTTTTTTTGAACAGTTAGGACGCAAAAATTCTAACTCAGAAAATTTTTATTTTCAAAATAAGAAACTCTGTATAGAATACTGTAGATCTAAGTAAATTTAAATACAGCAGTCTCCATGATATGATGCAAGAGTTTGCTTTTAGCACAGTCCTTTCACACTCTAGCAATCAGAAGGCAAGCCTAGCAATTAGGAAAAAGAAAGATTTTTAAAATTGCTCTTATCTGTCAGAACGCGTTATTTCTAGAGTTCCTTCTTCACGAAATGTACCTAGAGGGTAGAGCACTCTCCACCTCAGATTGCACATCTATTCACGCTATAAAAACCAGACAGAGGACAGGAGATTTTCAATGGGACAGGTGATTTATGAAACAGAACTGGAAGTCTGAGACATAAATATCTTTTGTTTCTAAATTCCTCTCTCCTCCCCTCCCACACACACTGATGTAATTCCCAGAAAGATAAACTGTGGATCACTATGCATACACATAGTGCAAATACTATGCAAAGCAAATAAGTTTAAACCCATGTTTTGTTCTAGTACTCAATAAAAGCAAGTTGATTCTTCTACTATTCGACCGTACATTATTTATAACACTGCATTCTAAACCTTATACAAAGCTTATACAGTAGTTTCCATAACCAAATTAAGAACATCTATACACTTTGTGGCTCCCCAGATGCAATTTACACGGCATCTTCTTTCCCACAGCATTAAGTACACAAGACCCATCCACGTATCACATTAGAATTCTTTAGCTCCATTTTTGCTGTACTCATGATTCGTTAGCATCATGCAAAATATCCTTCTACAGTCATGGGGAGCCAAATACAGAAATAGGGCTGAACTGCTAAGTAAGAGACCACAGCACTAACCACATTTGCAAGTGCTCACGAACTGTATGCAACTCATTACATCTCCCTTTTTATTTTTAAAAGCCTTTTTGATGAAGCAATCTTTCTTCCTCATCTGTTACTACAACCAGGGTGTCTCTTGAGAACACTACCTATTTCCATTTATGCTGCTCTATGCAACTGGAAGAATAACTCACTTTAAGCTGGACTGTAGCTTAGAAAAGTCCTTGCTTTTTAAGTTCTCAGAGGTAAAAAAATTCAGGCTTCCAATTCCAGTGATTGTTTGTAATTGCCCCTTTTTCTGATAACCAAATTTAGTAAGTTATCATTTTTCACACGCTTGTAGTTGGCCAACAGCCACATGAACCACTATCCCTCTACTTAATCAAGCCCTGGTCTGGAGGCATCCCTCTTCCCCAGGGCCAGTGCTGATTCTGCAAAGAAGCAGTTCTGCAGTTGCAGCAAGAGCAGAGAGAAGTGAACCCACAAAACCAGTAATTTAACAAGGGGTACTTTCTGTTTTAGACAGTGGTGGTCACTCCACAATGTATACCAGTATATTCACATCACTGTCATCAATAGGCAATGCTAGTGCTGGTGCTGTGGCAGCTCTCAGCTGTGGCCTCCTCTTCTCTGAGCAAAAATACAAAGTGCCACCCCCAACTGCTTCTGCTGCATTTTTTAAGTCACTCTGGAAGTCTCCCTTAAAATGGGGCCAATGTGCACTTTGATTACTCTATAAAATCAAGTATTAGTGCTTGGAGACTGCTCAGCTGCATCTGGTAGGGCTACCTTTTTTAACTTAAGAATGCAGTGTTGTTTTAGAGAACACTTAGCTTCTACTTGATCGTTTATGTTCAGTAAGAGTTTGTATTGCAGCAGAAGTTGGCCAGGAGTTAAGCACATACCTTTCTACACTTGGTTCTATGGGGAACAGTGCCATAAATTTTTGGAACATCTGTACCTTTCTGTGATCAATTTCAAAGCATAAATAAACCTGCAGAACAGATCACTGCATGAATAAAACTCTAATGGCTTAAAGTCCCACCTCCTTTCAGAAAAAAAAGTTATTGGCATGAAAGCAAGGACTGATGCTATCTGATTCGCAAAGTTGTTTAAAAAGAAAACAATGGCTTGTGGGCAAAGACCTTAATTAAAGTTTTCCCAAGTATGATTTGCACTGAGATAAGTGAAAATTCTTTATCCTTTTTCACCCCAAAGGGAAGGGAAGGCAGGCACTGGCTTTGTAATCTTATTTGATTAAACAATTCACTGTAAGCAATAATATGACACTGGTGAAAGAGCATGTAAAGGCAGTCACAGCTTCAGTCTTCCATTCCAAGTTCTTGTTTCAGACTGAAAGAGAAGTAGAAATGTGAGTTAGCTTGTAGCAAAACACTATTTGGAAACTATGTAGACTTTACACTTTAGCTGTGTTTATTGTCAGGGGAAGCCCTGACAATAAACACAGATGAAGTTGAGAGCCAAAAGACAGAGTGAATATACCACTTGTTTTGGGTAAGAAACAACACATCAGAAAAATCACATGGCAAAATCTCAGATTCTAAAGGCAACAGGGACTGATCTTGAGATTTACCTGACAAACTGGGATATGGGGAGTTCTCTCCCAGTTTCGAGCTGCTTATCCCACTCAGAGCGGAGTCGTGCCACTGACACAATGGCATACTTACCTTTTCAAGTAGGCATGGACGTTGTCATAGCCATGGTACTTGGCCAGATAGACCAGGACACCTGTAGCACATCGGCCATCCCGCTGTCTGCAGAAGCTACAGTTGCAGATTCCACGACATGGTGGGCACCTCCAGGTCTAGACAAAAGACAAGACAACAAGCGTTTTTAACTGAACTGGAATGCAGTAGGATTCACACCTGCAACTTAAGAGGCCCCTGCTCCACATCAAGTTCTGCAGTGAACATCAGTAAGTTTTGTACACCAGTACAGGAGTACAAATTCTTCAGTCTAAGTGATTAAACTCTCCTTTGCCTGCCCTGCACATAATCACAGGAAGTATCCCACTCTGCTCAACTCCTGCACCACTTCCACAGCCCACAACAGCAGCACTGCATCCACAATACAGTTCCTTTCCATACGGCACTAAGCACTAATGCCAAGCAAAATAGAACACTATTCTGATGCTCAAACACAAGAATATTTTGGCAGCTGCTCTGCTCTCATAGTTTACTTCTGCAACTAAAGCTACCAAAGTAGTAACTATGAGTTCTACACAACAAAAAGTTCTGTGATTCAGTTTGAATCTAACCAGGACTGCATTATGTACTACAGCACTGTAAGCAGCTCCCCTGCTAGAACTCTTTCACTGTAAGTAACCAATGCACCTCTCTGCTCAAGTTAAGCACAATAAAGTCAATATTTACAATCCTCTTACCGAATCCAGCAATGCTGTTCTGACATCCTCCCCATACCTATTGCGGAGGCACGGCCCACAGAATTGGCCCCGTACTCCTATGCAATCAGGGTTACGACAATTTGTCTTGGTGTCTATGGTTTTTTGGCGACACTGATGACAGGTGGATCCCTAAAAAACAGGGAAAGTAGTTCAGGAAACAAGACATTAAAGATGGCTCTTTACTTAGGGGAATAAAGCATTTAACAAGCAATCTCTTTGGCAGTTAGCAGCGCTTATCCTGAAACAGAAAGCCACCTTGCAAGTTTGAATCAAGACACTTTTAACATTGCATCTTCAGTGCCTGTTAATCACTTTCCTCAGCTTGTATTGGCTAGGTACTGCAGTGGTTCCAAGGTGAAAGCAAGCTAACTGGCTTGGTAAAGGCCATTCTATAAATTCAGGGAAAGATAAGATATGACATTTCAAAATCTCAGGCATACGTGTTTCTCCCAGAAAACCACATTCTTCCCTTCAGCGAGAGGGACTCTGCTCTATTTGATAGTAAACCACAAGCAGGGAATAACAAAAAAATTACTTCACAAAGTATGTGTTTCACAAAGTTGGAATATACTTACCATGGCCCTGTTATATACTTTCTCTCTTGCAGATCTACAAATATTATTCAGCTCTTCCACTGTTATCTCTTCAACTGGGCGCACAATGTGCGGAAAAGTCATGGCACCACGGTGACCCCTCCTGGGAGATCGGGCTTCGTGCTGAAGAGTGAATACACAATACTTTTAGTGTTTGTTTCAGCAAAAACTCTACATAAACAAGGTGGGGATCTTCAGAGCAATGCCAAAGTCTCAAATACCCATCACATATTTAAACAAGAGATATAGACCTTTGCAAAGACATATGATATAGATGCAGCTTTAGCACCTTCACTGGACCTGTCACCTTCAGGGTGCAGAAATGCTACTTCCTGCTGGAGTGCAAGAGGAAGTGATTTTTCAAGGGTAAGGTGGGGGCAAATGGAGAACACGTATGACATGCTATTTTCTGTACTTCCTCCCAGGCCATGGCATACTCATAATCTTGATCAACTCTGTAAGAATTGCTATTTTCTTGAAGGGATACAAAACCACCTTCATGATCAAGCTGCAACAGGAGAACAAGAACCTCAACTTACCTCCAGGTATTCATCAGACATCTTTCTTCTTCTCACTAAGATGTACCGGTCATCATCTTCCTCTTCTGGTAAAGGAGTAGGAGGACCTTCAATCAGGGACCTCGATCTCGTGTGAGGCCGAGAACTTCGGTCTGGGTTCCTCCTCAAGGCACTGGTGGGCAATGAACGTCTTGGAAGTCGCTTTGGTCCCTGGTAAAGTTTAAAAGCCCCAATGAAACAAGTGAAAATCCAGACATCTCCTGTCTCTACTATGAATTCCTCCCAAGACATGCCTTCCTTCTGCCTTTCCCAAAGATGAAGTCTCCCCACACACCCCATCCCAAATTAGAAAACAGAAGGTAAAAACATCTGAGGAAAACTCATCTTGGACATTCTGTTAGCTGCAGAGAAATAGTCAAAAGTACATTTGTGTCCATGCAGGTAGAAAAGACAATAATTCCCCCATGCAACAATAGTCCTCGTGTCTATGAGGAGTTGTGACTTTTACTGTTGTTCCCATCTTCACACAGCTTACAGGTAAATAAGCAGTGAAATTCATTACACTGCCAATTCACAACCCAACCTTCTTTAAGGACTGACTTAGGCCAAATGTCAGGTTTTTTCCAAGGTTCCAACCTCACAGAATATTCAGGCTTGAGCTTCAAAGTCTGAGCTGCCCGCCTTATCTCCAGCCTTTGTATAAATACATATTTACACAGCACCTTGTTTAGTTTTATTGGCTTGTGGAGACACCTAACTTTTATGAATTAATCTGTTATACTTTATACAGTGGCAAATCAAGACAGAATTGCACAATGAGGATGTCTGTTTCAGGAAGCAATAGAATTCCGAACTGGACTTTGATTTACATGGTTTATTAATTGAGAGTCCTGTTTTGTAATGTCAGAATTTGACTCTTTGAATGTAAATATAGTAAGTTTATACTTACATGACTGACAGTCGGCAACGATTTTCTCCCACCAAAGATACCAGAAACATTTTGCAACTCAGCCATTAGTTTTGCAAGCTAACAAGGGAAAGAAAAAGGAAGTAGAGCCTTAAAAAGGTGTTTATGTGCTATTACAGACTATTAGATTAGGGCAATTGGCTAGAAGTACAATTACTTACAGGAAATGCAGTTACTCTTCAACTTTTTACTTTTATGTCTTATTTACTTTATAGTGACTGCAAGTAATTTAAGAATGCTCAAACTTAGTATGTTGAAGCCCTATTCTTTAGGCCTGGAGCCTATAGGTTTTTACTGAAGTACTTAGCCTATGGATTTTCACATGCCAGTGGACATAAAGTATCAGATTTAAATATTAGGAAGGTAAATTCCTTTTAATGCATTCACATAATTCCCAGTAGATTTAATCTGAACCAAAGAGGTCCCCTAAGAGCCAAGGGAGGGGAGGAAGTAGAATGGGGGGCCCCAGGGAGACACTGAATACTTGCCATTGCTTTGTTTTCCTTTATGTTTAAAGCTCTTTTTTCTAAAAACATGGCACCCTTTTCTTCAGAGTCAGAGTCTGAGTCTGGAGCAGGCATCAGCTTTTCAGGAAGAGGTTCCTTCTCACCCTTCCTCCTCACCGATCTTCGAGGTGGAAATTTCATAGCTACTTTTAGAGGAATAGGGCATTTCCGCCTTCTCTGAGCTACCCCACCTTCAGTGCTTGTATCATTCTCCTCTGAATCAGACTCCAATTTCTGTTAACAAACCAGAATGGAAGCATATAAATCCAAGTGAGTTGCTCTGCAATTAAATACAGTCCAACAATATGATGTTTGCGGGTGGTTAAAGAGGTTATCTGAAATACAGACATTTAAATCTCCAGTCCTAGTGCTAGTATATTTGAGGGGAGGTGGGGGCAGAGAGGGAGGTGCAGGGATAAACTCTCAGGGAGAGCCACACTGTACTGGCCACAAAACATGAGAAAAAGGAGCTTGGTTTCAGTTGCAGCAGTCTTAGCTGTCATTTGCAGAACCAACAGCAAAAGATAGTTTGTGTGTGAGTGTGAGAAGGATAACTGTCTTTAAAGGGCTTGATTTTGCAACATATTGTATTTGGCTGTAAAAAAAAGCCACTACAGTTCTCAGCACAGGGTCAAACTCAAGTTTGTAAGCTGGCAAGAATAGTCATCTCACAGTATCAATGACATCAAGTGACAGTTTTCTTCTGGAGCCAGTCAATGAAATCATTATGAATAAAACCTCAGTATTTTCTTATCTTTGAATTCTGATGCCTTGCTTACAACTTTTACAAGAACCAAGAGTTCAGTGAGGACAGAAATTAATCTCTTTAGGTAAAAGCCCATTTTGCAGTAGGGTTTGACTTTTAAGTTTACACTCGATAAGACACTCTTATTTTGGTCATAGGTAACAACAGGCTTCCTGCTTCATACGCACAGACCATTAGTCTCAAATGTCAATCCTTACTTGCTCAGGGTTTTTATTAAGCCAGGTTTGTGGTTCTAGCTGCCCATTATGTGTAGCTATTGATTCCTTTTTCTTGCATACCTATTTCCAGCTTTGTCTCCTACTTATTCTCTTCACTGTTGTGTATTATTTAACTCAGACACGTCCTCTTCCAATCAGACATTATTCTCTTCTAGTAACTCCTCAGCATGTTCTGAAGTTACGACCAGCTTATTTTATGCCAAACATGGTATTACTACCGTTTTCTCTACTAAATACCAACTGTTGATCTTTTTAAGCAATAAAACCACTCTCGCACTGATGTCAAAGAAAAGCAGGAAGGCGGATTTTACCATCTGTCGCTCTATTTCTGCTGCTAAAGTAGTATAGCATTTCCTATTACACTGTCACAGTGCAGATCTCACTTCATGTCAATATACACAGAAGTTTCTCTCAGGTTTCTTGAAGTCCATGGGCTAGCATAACATTTTGTATTGAAAAAATAGAAACATTAGAATCTAAGAGAGTGACATCCAGTAAGGACAGTTTTAGGAGATATCCTGTTTCAAAATCCACATGGCAGATATTTATTTGCTATTGCAGAGTTCAGGATCTTGTGGGGTTTTTAACAACACAAAAAGAAAATGAAACTGTCTACTTAGACTTTACATTAAACACGATGCTTCTTGCTGACAAGATTTGACTTCAAAGCCCAAGCTGAAGCTGCCATTATCTGTCAATGAAGAGTGTGTAAGAATTTAAAATTGCAAACTAAAATAAACTGTCTTACCAGTGCATCTTGAATCTCATTTTCTGAAAAGCCACAGAAGGATTCATCATCAGAAGCTTCGTGAAAAATTTTTGCCAGTTCTCCTCTAATATCCGACCTAACCTTGCATTTCTATGAAGAATAAAATATCCTTTAGTTGAAGTCGTACAGAAAATGATTCACATTTACAAGTGCAGTATAAGCAAATAGCTTTTTTAATAAAGAAAATAAATAGTTAAGGCATTTAACAAGGGGTTTCAGAGCCACAGTTGCAAATTATCAGGCATGTTAGGTTAGGTGACATTTCAAAGGCTAGAATAAATAGCTAATCTGTTTCCAACAATTACCACCTAGAAGCACAAGTGAAGAGTGAAATTACAGCATATAATATAGATTTATAACTACTATACAGAAACATAAGCAGAGCAAGCAGTTTTAATTGTGCACAAAACATCTACTAGCTTTACCAGCTTTATATTTTTGCAAGTGTTACTAGCACTGCACACATAGTTTTATTTGTTCTTGTTCTGTACTTACAGTGTTTGCAAAATTATCAGAACCAAAACTGTCACAACTGTCATCAGAGGATGAGGATGTTTCCATGGGAATCAGTTTCGTATTTCGGAATGCTGTGAAGTTTTTCCTTCCTGAACAACCTCTGCGCTGCACAAGGACAATAGCAACATAGTTAATAAAACAGACCTACTACATCATACTAGTTTTTAAGAATATCCATAAATTGCAGTTTAGGAGGTTTGAACATTTTAGGATGTTTAACAGTCTTGAATACAAGTCATAAGAACTATTATCTGCTTTGAAATAATTCCTAAAGTTAGAAGTGGGAAGAGTCTCTGCTCTGATACATTTCTGAGCCTTGTTATAGATGAGTTTTGTTCACTATTTAGATATACTTCTTTTACACAAACAGCCAAGTGGAAAAATAGACAAAAAAATCATAACCTTCTCCAATCATTATAGACAATGCTGGAAAAAAAGTACAGATACACAAGTAGTACCTAGAAATCTTATTTGATTTATTAGTTATTTTAGTCTGAGGCAAACACTAAATACACTGCAGCTGTTTAGGATAGGACTAAAGATCATATCCCCTGAAAATAGGAGCTTTGAAACAACAGTTCTAGACCTGTTTTGTTCATTTTATTACCAGGTTGAAATAGCTTTTTTGGTAGTCAGCACTGTTACCAGTTCACAAGCCCAGCCGACTGGGCCGAGTATTTTATAAGCAGGGTTTACACCGTGACTAGCCAGGGCAATGTAAAGACTCCTGTGCTCCCCCCAGCACCGCTCCGCACGCTGCTTTCCGCCGGAGCGGCACCACACAGCCCCCCACCCCCCCGAATCCGGGGCTGGCGGCAAACAGCAAAGTTTCCCGGCCCGGCCCCAGACACAAAAGGGGCCGTTTCTGGCGCCGCCCGAGGGAGCGCCCAGCCGGGGGAACCCCGCCGCGCCCGGCCGGGCACCCCGCACTGCGAAGCTCAGCGCAGGAGAGCCGGGACGGCCACCGGCACGCAAACACGCGTTCCCCCCCTCTCCCCCCCCCCCCCCCCCCCCAAACCCCGCGGGCACAGCCCCGCACCACGGCCAGCTCTCCCCGCCTCCCGCTAAAATGGTGCCGCTCCCACACACGCACACGGCGGGGCCGCCCGCCGCCGCGCCCCGCTCCCCCCCGAGACCGCGGGTTCCACGCCCGCAGAGCGGGGCCGCCTCCCCCCTGCCCCGAGGTACCTTCCCCCGCGCCCCCGGGGCGGCTGCGAGGCGGGAGGCGCCAGGAGCCCGGCCGCCCCCACCACAGCCGCCTGCCCCACGCCGAGCACGGCTCCGAAGACGACACCCCCCCCCCCCCCATCCCAGTCAGGGGGGCGAGGGCGCCGCGGGGCATGGGGAACCCCGGCTCCAGGGCGGGGCAGGAGACCCCAGGCTGCCGGTCCCCACGTCGCTCCCCCTGTGGTGCCCGACGAGCCCCGCCCGACCCCACCAACCTCCCCGCGAGCCCGGCCCTGAGACCCCGCAGGGCCCCCAGGAGAGCGCGGCCGCAAGCGCCACGGCCCCCTCCCGACCCCCCCCCGCCGCCGTGAACCCGGGGGGCAGCCCCTCCAGGCGCGGGCAGCGCTCACCTGCGGGCGGGACGGACCCATGCTGGCGGCGGCGGGGCGAGCACCGGGGAACTGAAGGTTCGCGCCAAAGCGGCAGCGACCGCGGGAGGCGGGGCCCGGCGGCGCCTTTTCCCGCGTTAGCGCCCGCGTCCTGGCAGATGCAGCTGACACCCCCCTCGGGATCGGGCGCCCGGCGTGCCTGCCCGCCCACCCCTCCTGAGGAGCTCGCCAGATCACCCGGGGCACCCCCGGAGGGGCTAGGGCGAGGTTGTGTCCCCACCCCTTTTTTTTTTTTTTTTTAATCTCTTCTCTATTCGGGGTGCGGGGTTTGTGGAACTGCAAGGGCCTGGCCCTGTGGCGCGAAAAGCTCCCGGGCGGAACGCCGCGGGACTCGCGTGCCAGAGGGGAGGGGCGCGCGCGCGCGCCAGCCGCCCCGGCGGGGTGAGGGCCCGGGGGAGCCCACGTGGTCTTCAACTCTCTCTCTTTTCAAAATTTTTTCATGTTATGTTCCAGATCTGGCTTTGTTTGTACCGCTCCGAAATAAAGCCCCCAAACCCGCCAGTTTTCAGGGGCAGAGGCGGGGTTCCCCACCAAGGAAAGGCTGGGGCAGCCTGTGCGCGCCCCTGGGGGCACCCGGCACCCCTGAGGGCCCCGCAGGGCCGGAGGCTGCGGTGCCCCTGCGCTCAGCTGTGCCTGCCAAGCGGGACAGTAAAAGCGCGCTTTATTGTAAATAAACAACCCCCCCCCCCCCCAGCAGCACGGACACTCGCCTGTGCTCCCGCAGTGAATCAGGGCGGCAGCAGCACGTTGCCTCTGCTCCCTTGGGAGTACAGCGGTGCCACAGGATTTGACAAAGTTGGCTGAGTTGCTCGTTGCAAACAAAATACTGCTTGAAAGCTGGCCAGAAGAAAGTGGATCATCAGTCCTTGTAAACCATTTTACGTAACATTTGTAATATCACATTAAATCAAACACAGCCATTAAACGCAGCAAAATAACTGCTGTGCGACCTGAATTTTGGCAGCAATAGTAATGGGAGAAGCCCTGAAGAAGCTGTATGGGATTTGTGGCCCCGCTATAATCCTGTTTATCCTGTGATTTGAGCAGGGCTCAAGGCCCGTGCAACTGTAGCTGCCCCGCGTTCCCAGGCATGCTCCCGGCAGCAGGCAGGTGCCCGTCGCAACCGGCGCCAGGGAAGGAGGCCCCGCACACGTGCAGCCCCCACGCCAACCTGCGCCTCTGTAAAGCAAACCATGAATCATCTCTAAGCCAAAGCTTGTAAATAGGCTCCAGCACAATAGAGTGCAAGAGCCTTCGTGGAGGTTTTCTCTTTCCTGTGAGCATTATTCTTCCTGCGTGTGCAATCTGTTGTGTAAAAGAATATCCATGTTAAATAAGCCCGTAATTACATACTTACCTGCACTGCTGGCTTCTCAGCGCGGGCACAAAAGCAGATGAACTAAACCCAGTTCTCTGGAGACCAGACCACACTCAATTCCTCTAAATCCACATCAGTGCAGGATTGCCACCCAGATAGTTTCCAGCAAAGACAGCTCAGCTGGGAAGTGGGGGGGGATGTTTCTTGAGTTTTGATATAGTTTTACTTCGTTCAGAAAAAAAAATCGACAGATACTAGTTTAAACACATGGAAGAAGAGATCCAGTTTCTCAACAGTAACAGCCCTTAACATCTTGCATCATGATTATCAGGATTTTACTAGAAAAGTAGCCAACCTTCACAGTTTTTAAGAGCATCATATGAAATGTTATGGAGTACTGATGGGGCTAGCTGAATCCATACCTCGGACTGCAGTTAATTTTCCATTTAATGCTTAGTGGAAACAGCATTCTTCAAACAACATTTGTAGTCAAATGGCTTTAAAATTAATAGGCCAGAGCAGGAACTTTGTGAGGAAACCAGACAGGACGTTTTGTGAATTGCATTTTCAGCTTTTTTTTTAATATGTGAAAAATAATCGCTGTATTGAAAATTGTGTGTGCCAGCTCACATATTTTACAGAGGACTGGGGAGAAGGGGGCAAGAAATGGAGAAAAAAAATGGGAAGTACGTGAAGGGCAGGGGCTTCCCTTCCTATGGTACAGTGCAGGGTACCAGAAAATGAAGGTCTGTAACTCAGGAGATGGCTGTTGTGACCTGTGCCGCTGTCCTTTCCACTGTTCTCATCTTCGTGCCCTTCACACCTCTGTTCTACCCTGCAGAGCCCTGTTACCCTTGGTGGATGGGCAGAACAAACTTACCAACTGGCTTTACCATGATGGAAAAAGTTTCTCAATGTTTGTCGAGAGATAGGCAGCACCACTGTCCTACATCCAGCTATTTACAATAGCTGAGGACGTGCAAAGCTGAACCCAGGTGAGTATCACATCTTCAGCCACATTTAACTCAAATTAAGTTAATGTGAGTGGAAGAAAACATCCCTGCCCGTTCAGTGCCCCAGTCCAGGTCCTGCATGGCCTGTCCAGTGCTACCAGCCTCTCTGTCTCACCTCCTGCCCAGCCGCGGGGTGAGCTCACCCCCTAGAGCTCACGTGTCAGCAAAGATTATCTGGAGAATTTTAGCAGGTGTTTCTAAGAAAATAGTCTCTTAAATTCTCATCTGTCCTTGAAATGAGTTGTTAGTACATGGTAGCAGCCCTTGGAAGACCTGCTAAGGGAGTCAGCTGAAATTATAGAGGGACGTTCAGTAGGTTGAGCATGCAACACTTGCTGCATCCATCTGGCAGAATCAAAGTTGTTTACATATTAGGAGCTTCAAGCAGTAGCAAGAACATGGACCTCCAACAACAATAGCTCCATTGTCAGAAACAGTAAATGTGACCTTTGGTCTGCTGGGACAAAGGACAAGCGCTGTCCTCCATGTCACCCTGCAGATTTCAGCTGCTGACACTGCAACACAGCTTTTCTTTCTGGAGGCAGGACTCCTGCTGCCCGGTCCCTGGCTCTCCGACACACTTCCTGTTTTAACTATGGACAACACACTTTGTGCTCTAGTTTCCTTTCTTAGTTGTTTTTTTTTTTTTTTTTTACTTGGGGCAATACATTTTTACCTGCCCGAAATAGCATGTGGATACATTAATGTTTGTGTGATGCTGGTAATTATTGTGATGGGACTTGCACGATGACACAGATATATATAGACGCAAGTATTTTAGTGGAAAGGGAGAGTTTGGATTCTCATGACCACAGAGTACCTGTAGCACAATGCAATAACATGTATCTTAGCTCAGTAAAAAAGAATAAGATTGCAGCCACTAATGACAGTAATTAAAAATTTCTGTAAGAGCTGTCCAATCACCTCTTCATCTGAGCAAATTATAGTGTGTTATTGAAACTGTTAGTGCAATAACATGAAGCTAAAACATTTTGCATTAAAATAATCAGACATTGATTTCTGATGTAAATTGTAAATTGGCAACCTATAACACACACTAATTGTTCTTCTTTCTCTTGAAAGGTGTGTTTCGGTAAAAGATCTGATCAAGCATATGTATTTGTTCACATGTCACCCTCCAGTGGCTAACACTACTATACAAGACATAATAAGGTATATAATCAGGTAACCTGCTATTGATTGCAACCCCAAAAGGACACTTGTTCTTATACAGAAGCAGGAGGATTGCCACTTTTGGAGATTTAATTATAGTCAGACCTCTACATGTTTGTTGGACGTGAATTTTTATTAAGTACTTTTTTATTGTAAATACTTTGTGCTCTGATAGGTAAAACCAGAATTTGTACAATAAATGTAAATTTAAATATTTAGCATGTATAATCAGTTTATAGCCAAGACCAGCTGTACCAGCTCCACAAAATACATCCGCAATGGAATTAGTATCTTTTTCCTTTTTTCTCTCTCCAAGGAAAAATAGATTTTCCCCTTTTAATTTAACAAGTTTGTATCAACTTGTGCTTTGCTGTAAGTTCCTTATTAGTAAAGCCTGGGTGCAGATGCATCTTGCATGTTGAGTTGAAGGTGGTCATGTCTGATCCTACTTGATACCCTGTTTCTTTGACACAAACTGGTGAGACCATAAAAATGGAAAGAACAAGAGAAGGAAAACCGAAGGAATAAATGCAGCGCAGGGAGAGGAAAAGTGCAGTTGATAAATGCCTCTAGGAACCTATATTCATCAGCACATTAAATGAATGGCTGAAATGTGGTCAGTTCTGATAGAAATATTAGTGATTATTCCAAGTATACATTGTAGCAGATCATTCGGAGCCCAGAGGGTTGTGATGCACATTATGGAAGTGTAATTATAATGGTCATTTGAGTGTCCTGTTGCCATTCCATAGAATGCATAGCAAAAAACATTTACCAAAAGTAGCTGTTGTTGGTATGTGGTAGCCACTTTTAAAATCTCATGATGCCAGTCCATTCACTCTTGGGCTTTGATTTGTATTTCCCTTTGAAAGTACAAAATAGATTAAATCACATCATAAAGAAATTGCTTACAAAATGTTCTGCAAATGCATAGCTCTGGGAAACAGAAGGCTATCAGAAAATAATCGAAAATTTTTACTGCAGCCTGTTTTTTTTGCCCTTTTATATAAGCTTTGCCACTGCCTCTTTGTGAATGTTGATTTGCATTGCCTCCACCAACCTTCAGCAAGATGTGGTTGCTGGGAGAGGATGGGAGTGAGGGGACAGGCGGTGGCTTAACCTTCTCCCCAGGGATCTCTAGGCAGCTCCCTCAGGAGGGACGAAGTGGGGGGACAGCTAGAAAGCCTCCCTCTGGGCTCGCTACTGCCTGCCAGGTGGTCCCCAGGGCACACTTCAAGGTTTTAGGCCCTGCTTGTGTTTTTTCACAGAATGAGGGAAATGCCCTCTCTCCGCTGCAGGGAGCCCTCACCTTTCCTGCTAAGGCAGGAAAAGAGATGTCTACGTTGAGCCCCAGATACATTAAGCCACTTTGTTCTCCATAGCACCGCGTTCATGTCCGTAGTCCATCAGCACTGACCCTCGGGGCAGGCGGGAGCGGTGGGATGCGGTGGGGGGAGTCAGGTGGTGCTGGGGTGGGAGTTGCAGAGGAGGGCCGCACGCTTTACCCCCGGCTCTCAGACAGCCCAGGCTGCCACTGCCGCCCAGCACCGTTCCTCTGTCCTCTGAGATGTTCATCTCAAATGCCTTGTATTTACACGTACTCAAACGTGATCTTGGCAGACCCTTATTAGTGTTATTGCTGTAATAGACTTCTCCTCCATAACCTCCAACTTTTTGCAACAAACTGGCTTGAACTGCTAAGCTTTGGCACTTCATTAGATAAGAAAATTATGTAAAAACCCTTCTATGGTGGACACATATACAGAAAATAATTCTGTCAGATGTAATTTGCAGAGGTAGCACAGCTATTTAGTTCCATTTTAGTGATGTGA